TTTAAATAAATTTTGCAGATCAGGGAATTCATGAAATATTTTTCTTTTTCTTAAGATATTTCTTCCATAGTTGCCATTTGTTACTGCTTCTATAGTTGTAATAATTTTTCTTGCTGAATATATTTTTATGGTAATCTAGTAACTTTTCCATGTCTTCATTGTCATAGTTTTGCCTAGACCAGTATCATAGATAACAAAAAATGTTGTAATTGTCCTAAGCACTCAAAATCTCTACCTATAACCCAATCTGGCAATATTTTCCTTCAGGTTGAGTTCATGGTCATATAAGTCTTTTTCTGTCATTCTTTGCTAAGCAATAGAAAATATTAAAATGTTTCCAGAGGTCCCTGATCATTAATTATTTGAATAAGTTATATCAAAATACCATTGAAAATCACAACATGTTGCCAACTTGAGCATTCATAACTTGAGACACCATTCATCTTCAGAGGACCAAATGAATAAGAATTTAAAGAATTTAAGAGGTTTGAAATTTTTTGAAAAACTAAATTTGACATGGGTTGCTATGAACTTAAAAAAAATCAGTTTGAAAAATTTAGTTAATTTTACAATCAATTTCATATTTTCATAAATCAATGAGCAACTTTTATATCATCATTAACAATACAATTAAGAAATTTTTGAAGATCAAACTGTCATGCTTTTAGTACTTACAAACCGATTTTTTATGATATGCTGTGAAAGTGATACAGCATATTTATTTATTACTTGTAAAGTATTTAAAACAAAATTAGCACCTTTATCACATATATGACTTAAATAAAAGGAAAGAAAAATTTGCAGATTTTCACTTTTACTTCAAATTAAATGCAGTGTTGGAGTGTATCAATCAAGAAACCAGCTGTGAATATTCTAACATAGGTTTATGCAAGAGAATTTGTGGAAGACTTACTTACATCATTGAGTGAGATATGGTATAATTACTGAATTTTGCTAAAAATCAGCAATTAATCAGTTTAAACTATCTGCTCATCATTTTTAGCATTTTAATGTGAGAGTCAGATTTCTTTTAGATATCATTACAATGTCAGGTATCACTATTTTAAACATTAATTTGGTGGCTGATTGCATGTTTTTAGCACTATAAGCCAACAGATGATTTTTATTTACATACTAACCACACTACAGTAAGTACACAAATATCAACGTGAAATTGTGCATCAGTTTATAATGCCTCATGGTATGCAAAAATTTTAAAATATTTCCTTATAAAGTATAATCAGAGCAAATAACTAAAGCCACAAAATCACCATGAATACCTAGCATATGCATGAAAATTTAAATAAGTAGATGAGAAACTATCTTAATTATATCAACATAGGTAATTCAGTTTGAGGTTTGAACCCTGGCGAATGGGCTGCCTGCATGGCCATTTTCATGGTTTCCCTATGTGTAATGTGGATATGAGCCTGGTTCCCTTACAAAGTCCTTCTGCTTAGGATAATAGCCCTTGAGAACTTTGCCATAATTAAATAAACCAAATCCACAAATTCCCTTTGATTAAAAAAAAAAAAAATCTGATATAAACAATTACCTTTATAATTATAAAATGAAAAGATTAATGGAAAAACATTAAACATACATTAAATAAAAAGTAAACATACTCACAGTAAGAGCGTAATTAAGTAATCTAGTTTAAACATACAGCATTTTATGTTTACACTTATCAAAACATTATACAAGTGTATTTGCAATCATCAAGGCTTCCAAATACAAGTAGTAGAGGCAAAAGTTTCTAGGAATGAATTATATGAATTAGCTTAAAGTATTTATATTGAATAAATAAATTAAAATTTAATATAGTACTGGACTAAAAATCATTATTGAAATTCTGAATTTTTAAATTTATATTTCAGTTTGAAGAAATAAAAAGCAAATGATTCTTACAATATTTCTAGACTGTGTAAACAATTATTACTTCATTACAAATTAATTTCTTTGAGCCTTTTCTGCCTATTTAAAACACACTGGTGCAAAAAACCTAAAGAATAAATATATTTTTAAGACTTAAAAGCTCGAAATTAAATTACGACGCCTACAGAAATTACATAACAGTAGATCTTCACTAGTGGGCTGGTATTAAAATTTTGGAATCATGGTGTCAGAGAAGTGATATCACACTGGTAATCTTTAATGATTCCCGAACGGTAAAAAATTATTGGAAGTTTTCTGAAAAGAGTGTACACTGAATTTGATGATATTGTTAATAGCATCAAAACAAAGGAATGGATGGTTTTCAAAATGACAGATGCAATTATCTGAAGGACTACCTATGATCATCAGTGAATAATAATGTCTAGTGATAGAAACTTTATAGTTTTACATGTGAAAACAGCCTTATTACTAGACAGTGGAAGAGATTATAAACCAGCTGTTATAAAGCACTAAGCACCATATATCACAATTTATCAAGGATTCCATAAAAGTTGGGTCAAATATGTGTCTTAAACATTTACTACTTGCAGTAATTCAAAAAAACGTCACATCAGGAAAGCAATACAAAATAAAGTACTACAGTCAAAAGTCGTTAATTCGGACACCCATAATCCGGAACTCAAAGCTACAAACTTTACTGCTACGAATATGTGTGCGCGCATGTGCGTAATACGTTTACGCTTGCGCGTTTAATGTATAACGGACACTATTAAGCTAGACTAAAATTATCTTTACTGAATCTAAGGCATTTCAGTTAATGTAGTGGACTGTGCTGTTTCCTAATCTTCTAGTTTGATCAAGTTTATTATTTTTTGCAGACTGTTATTATTACGGCTATTTCATAAAAACTAAGCTTGAACTTTAGATTATGATTCTAAAAGAGTTTCCAATTCTGGAGATGCCAAGGGATCTACAAAATGAAAAACATCGGTTTCGTTTTGTAGTTTCAACGTCCATTAAACAAAAAGTGGAATTGCTGCAAAAAAATGGATAAAGGTATATCCTTCGTTTTCAAACCATTCCGAAATCTGTTACAATTTCACGCTGCTCTGCGGCCCGGGGGGGGGGGACGCCATGGCGCACAATGATCGAATTAATCTGTCACACTATCCTTTATCTTCAGCGATGTTTTTATTTAATTTCGCTTATAATTCTTTACTAAATGTAGTATTCATCTCGTGTACTCCATCTTTGAATGATAAATCAAATTCCTCGTCATTATAATTCGCTTCCATAGAAGAAGTGATACAGAGGGTTATTGAAAACAAAAAATTTCGATTGACAAATTATCGTATTCTCGACACAGCAATTATAGGACTTGCACAGCTGAACTTGTAACTGAACAAGAATTATGTTGTTATAGAATTAAAAGGAAAGTATATCACATAAACGAAGCAACTTAAACAACTTACATAAAAAATGTTTAATAAGTAAACAAAAAATATTAGCGTTTTTTGTGTAATTTTATACCCTTTAGGTCATAATTGTTCTTATTCATAATACGGTACCATATTTTAATTTTAATTCTGCATGCCATCTTAACAGATTTAACTATGATCTCAAGCCTGAAAAAATCGATAATCCGGAATTGCCGAAGTTCCGACGAGTCCGGATTAACAACTTTTGACTGTATTTACTTATCAGAACAGATTCAGCCTCAGCAATTTTTTTTAAAGCTATTATACCAAGAATTTTGCACATGATATTGCTCCTCAACCATTATTAAAACTCATTAATATGGCAGCTGAGATGTTATGTTGCATGGATGAACCAAACTGTGTGTACACTAGTTAATGCCATTGCAGTGAGACAATTCTGGTCCGCATCTTTTCCAAGGCATTACTGGCTTCAAGTTTATAAAGAATATCATGACATCCCACCATGTTGTTGTTGATTATGGTGCTGGAAAGATGATATTGCTTGAATGGATTGATTGGTATGAATTCATAAATCATAAATACTAACACTGATGATGCACTAGTAGTTGCAAACATTGTAACCTTAGCAAAATATAAACAAAATTAAAAATTTAAACGTATCATGAATGATAGGCATTATAGGTACTTGCCTAGCATGAAAAATTTTAAGAGAATATCAGATATGTCATTCTCACAACTAACACTTAAATATATGTTAATCAATTCATATGGAGCAAAATGCTGTATCCTTGGAATAACAATGCTCATTTTCCCCTAGTTAAATCCCACTGAACATACATGGGATGCTCTGGGCAAATGTCTTGTGACACATCCACAAGCAGCTGTTCAACAACAAAAAATAACACTGATAAAAAAAAAATTGACAATGCTGTTGCAAATACTCATCAGCAACTTTATGTGAAGTGTGCACATGTAGTACTAAATAGATATTGCCATTCGAAGTTATCAAACTGCCACTGAAGATCACCTCTAATCTCTGATAATATTACTGTTTCCTCATTACTTTGATTAATGGCTGAGGTACCTTAGCTATGATTTTATCAAGCTAAGGTAGCTATGATAAAATCATAGCTAAGGTTTTATCATAGCTAAGGTACCTTAGCCATATCATAGCTATGATTAGACCATTAAAGTTTAAAAACATAAGTGAAAACCTGATTATTTCTTAAATTTTGTGGAACATTAATTCATTGAATAATTAACAAACTAAATATGTTATTTATTTTTAAATTTTTTTTTTTTTTTATCCAATTTTTTTTTATTTTCTTATTATTTATTCTAAATAAAATTTTTAATTCAAAATTACATGATCACATCTACTTTAAAATGGATGAATATTAAAAAATTACAAGTATTATGCTCATAATGAATAAATACTTGAATGTCAAAAGCTAATATTTTCCACTTAAAATCAAATAATGTAAAATATTTAAAAAATAATAAATACAAATAAAATTTCATTTAATTATATTTAAGTTTTCAAAATTTAATGTTATTCAAATTCAAGGGTAATTTACTATTATTTACAATACCCAATTATGCAGTAAGAATTATGCAGAAAGATATATTATGCAGTATAAAGAATAACAAAGACAAAAAAGAATATCAAATCAATTAGAATTTATATGAAATTTATTTGACAAACAATTACCTGTTCGGTAAGTGGCTTATTTTGTATACAATAAGTTCTTCACTCATTAAATGATACATATGAAAAACATGCCACATGAGTATGCTTAAAACAAATTAAATAATACACCTTAAATTATTCGATTAGAGAGAAATATTTAGATTTCAGTTTTCAGAACTGCTAACAGTAAAAGTATTTCATGCATTCACATAACAAGATTAGTTTACATGCTTATATTTAGTACAGAAATATGGATAAATACTGATTACATAAAAATAGATTTGTTTAGTATAAAAAAACCTAATATCTATAATCACATTAAAAATATAATGTAAAATATTTTAGTTTATTCAAATAAAAAAATAAACTACATATGGTATTACTACCATATTTAGTCATTTTGAAAATTTATAACAATTTTTTTTTTTAAACTGAAATTGCTATATTACTATATGCTTCATTTTTCTATACCTTTAATAGATAAGAATTAAATAGAATATAATGAATTATTTTTTACCTTAAAATTATAAGTAATTTTTAATCTTTCAAGTGCAAAGAGAAAAATCAGTCTATTCCAGTTTAAAAGAAAATCGGGAACATAATAATATAAGAACATAGTATGTTTATGTAAATCTCAAAACTGCAATTAAAATGACTAGATATGCAGAGGAATCAACACATCATATGCTTATTTCATTTCACACTGACTTCCAAAGTACTTTAATGTGGAGATTTGTCTTTACGTGTGAATTTTTGATTGTGTAGTAATATTAAATTCTGCACAGCAGTAATAGTTGATTGCTCATTTTGTCCAGTAATTAAATGTCGATCCACAACAACATAAACTTCATCTGGTTCACTACCTTGAAAATAATAAAGACATATTTTCTCATTAATGACAATATTTAAAATAATTATTAAGAACAGAATTCACTTTCAACAAAATCTGTACTCATTAAATATATAGTTGATAATGTTTCAAAGAACATAAAAAAAGTATCGTTTGTGGCTAAAATAACCATCTTATGTATCCAATTTCTACACACTAAAAAATTAAGATAATTTCATGTTACTGCTTCAAACTTCATATATAAATTTGAAAAGTTTGAATGGTTAAATAACATAAATAAACTAGTAATCATTACACATAAGAAACAGTGAAAATTATTAATTATACAAAGGTTGTTTAATGTATTCCAGTAAAATAATAAATGGTTAATTTAAATCCGAGACCTTCACCTCGTTGACAAGACAACGATTTAATAATCTGTAAGGGATTAGTTAAATCTTTGAGATAAAAAATTAAAGGTCATAAGTTAGTTATGCTCCAAATATGACACATTTATGAATGACAAAATGATAACAGAATCTACAACAATTTATTCTCCATTCAAAAACAGCACTAACAGGATAAGAAATCAGATCCTTATTTCTTTTGTTTAAAATAAACATGTTTAAGTATTATTTTTAAAAAGGAATACACTTTTGTATTACCTTCAGTTTTATAAAGAATATAGAATCATTACAATTGTTTTCAGATTCTTAGAAACAATTCTAATTAAAAAATGAAAAAAATGGAATAGATATACATATATATTTAAAAACTTTATAGCCAAAACTGCTTATTATTAGCTCAATAATTGCAAAACAATTTTTGAATAAAATCTTAGGGGGTGGGGAGAGAATTAAAAACAAATTTTATTCAAATTTATTTATTAAAATTTATTACTTTAGTAGTCATTCAAAACATTAAAATTTTAACAATAATTTGCCTTAAACATCTATGCATGAAGAACTTGTAAAATAAATCTGGCAACTTCCCTTTAGGTTTCTCATTTTGTCTTCTTTTAATTCATTTAATTAATTTATTAAGTATATAAAATTTTAAATCTTTCAAATAAGAAATTTATAACAAATCAGGACACAGTAATAAACACAAAGACCCCAAATAAGGAACTTACAACTATATGTGGCCAATCTATCTTTAACAACATCTTCTGGAATGATAGGAATACTTTCAAAATCAGGATTTCTAGCTAATTCAAATACAGAAATCTGGAAATATATAAAAATATCTGTTTTTTATATGAATTTTTTTTTCATACTTTTGTACCCAGTAACTGAAACAAGCAAGAAGTTGTGTATTATTAACAACAACTTCATAAACAAAAGCATACATTTTATTATCTAATTTCCTTTTGTAGCATATGAAGTTTTACTGAATAAACATTTTTTATAAAACATATTACAGGCTTACTAGACATTATTTTACATATTTTGTATAAATTCAAATGCATTATGAGATATCAATACAATGCTTAAATATAAAATTAACTAACTTTTTTTAAAAAAATCTAGTAAAGAGAAAAAACTTAAAGTTTTAAACATACTGATGTAAGGCTGTATTTTGAAAAAGACCAAGAATCTTCGTCACAGGCAGAAAATAATGCAGCTACACCCATACCGATGGCACATATAGGTTCTACAAAATAAAAACAAATAAAGTCTGGTTATTTAATACATTACTATTTAGTTATTTAAAACATGTCATACAGTTTCAATTTACATTCTTCCCTATTTGTCACATTTTCAGATATTAAACATTCAAACTTTGTGTGATTCATCTTTTCAGTAAATTTTAATTATCTACATTTTTAGACAAACTAATAATTTTATTAAAATACTTTAAATGTCTAAAGAACTCTGATTTAAGAAACTTTATAACAGCCTTCATAAAAAAATTTATTCTACCTCCTTATATCTGAAAAGTAATAATATACTTATAATAAATATTTCTCAAGTGTTTCCAAATTAATCTGCCATTTGATTCTTATATTAAAGATTCATTCAGATTTAGATAATGGTAAAAGTTGAAGTGTTTCATCCATTTACAATTATACCAAAACTTTAAACTAAATTAATTGCAATATATTTTTTTGTTAAGAAATTAACTAACCTCATCATTCTTAACCTATTATCAGTATCATATTCCCACATTTATCTTGCTCATATGTTACAATCTTATTGCCAATTATTAAGTACCATAAAACTGCAAAATGTTTGGTTGAAAATTAGAGAACAGCAGATATATTCATCTCTGCACTTGTGTATTGTTTTACTATATTTTATCCAATGAATTATGTGAAAAAGCAAAGAGAATATGTGAATATCCATAACTGACTGTTATTAGAAAAAATATTCATGAATAAAACATAATTACCATATTAAACATCTATTGTTACATTTATATATTTGTAATATATGAAACTCAGAATCACAATTTGCCGTTGGATCCACACTTTTTATACAAATGTAAAAATGACTGAACAATACACACACACATACGTACATACATATGTAATATGTTATTTATAATATATATATATATATATATATATATAGCTCAAGAATAATATTTTTTAAAATTTGCTTTTTATATATTTAACATATTATATAACCTACTTTTTTCTTGTATAAAGTTTTGCAATATTTGGGCGAGATCTTTATCATCTGATAAGTCAAATGCAGCACCTGGTGAATGAGGAATAAGTAAACAGGAATACCTATGAGCTATAAAGAAAAGAAGGGAGAAATGTTATTAATTCTGAGTTTATATTAAGAATTTCTTAATTAATGTGAAAAAATTAAATTGTAGTATATATAATTTATTCAAAACTCTCATGCATTAAAATGATACATAAAATTTTAGAAAAATTATAAGACATTATATAATAAAAACATAAATAAAAGGTTCTTTTCTACTAACAGGGTGTCATTTAGCACCAAATATTAATGCTAGCATGATGGCAATCCTAATGATATGTACAGCTTCATGAACTGAATGGCAATTTTTAAAATCTAGAATACAAAAATAAAGATAAATCCAAAAATGCAAATTAGATTTTGGTAGATTAATTTTAGATTATACTGGAGACAAAGCTATTAATTTCATTAACACTGCTGAAAATATTTGTGTCTTCTCTTGAAATTAAAAGAAAAAACAAAGACAAATCCAAAAATTTAAAATAGGTTTTACTAGATTAATTTCAGATTACACAGGAAACATAAAGCTACTTATTTCATTTATCAATGCCAAACATATTTTGTCCTTTTCTGCAAACCATGTCACTTGAATGTGATTATTTAAGAATTTAGATAATGGCAGAATACCTTCATAAGAATGCCTTGACTTACCTGCACCCTTATGCTGGTCTGCCACTGTTCAAAAAGACAAACCTTCATATATGTGCCCTAACATGAAGATGCATGCCCCTTATAAAGATCAGCTTCTATTTTGGAAGAAAAAGAGCACATTTTTTATAAAGGTACACTTATTAAAAAAAAAAAATCTATATCCCTCATTCTACTCGGCCAATTCAAGAAATTCAAATTGCGTTCTTAATGTCTCGAAAGCACAACTTAGGATATATATTAGATTTATATATAACACTATTCTTACATAGGTATTTTGACACAAAATCGGACTTTTTCTGAAATAACATACCATTTTTTTTATATATTTCGATTCTACGACTCAAATTATGCCTAGATACTAAATTTTGTAAAATTTGGTGTGAAATTTACGAAGAAATTCAACAGTTTATGTTGGCCCTTTTTTTTTCAGTTCGTACCAAGAATAGTTCACTTGACGAACTTCTTAATATATGGCAACCTATTTTCCTTTCCCTTTCTACCTCGTGCGTGAGGGGGGAAGTCATGATTGTTCCTTTTTTCAGATAATGGTCTTTATATTATATTTTTAATTATAATTGTTAATATTTTAAATATTTTTCTTTTTCGAATTTCATTTTAATCGTTTAAGTTGCATGGATTCTTTCAAATAACTATTTTAAAAATTTCTATTTACTCATTCGAACTGCATAGTTTAAATCAAAGGTGCAGCTTTTTTTTTAATAGTTTTCTTTATACCACATTTTTAGTCATAGTTACTATTTTAGGTAATTTTTAAATTTTTAGACTTTTATTTTAATTCTTAGTGTTGCATTGTCTCTTCAGATAATTATTTTAAAATTTTCTATTTATTCATTTGAATTGAGCATTTTAAATATATCTATTAATATAAATTTTTCAGAATTTCATTTTATTTATTTGAATTGTGCTTCTTTTGGAAGAATACTTTGTAACCCAGATTACGATGCATTTGAAAACTGCATATATTAAAAGAGAAAATACAATAAAGCACAGTTAACATGCCTTTCAATGTTCCGTTCAGAAAAGATTTATAAATAGAGATGTATAACCGACATTTTAACTTAGGATGACTTGCATACACTGCTTTAAACAGTTTCATCATTGTGCCCATTGCTTTACACAATTTTATTATCCTACCTTTGGTTTCTTAAAATGTTATTCATATTTTAGTCAAATATTTTATTTTTGAAATCGCAAGAATCCAATATCAGAAGATTAAAAAAGTTTTAATTAAAAAAAAAAACACAAATACTAAATTTTACGCAAAAATTTATTTTTTCTTCAGGCATTCTGCAAGTATATTAAAAAGCATCCAACTTTTCGAAACATCTTGATATTTCTGACAATCATTTTAAATAAAGTTATCGCCTTCTATTTCATAAAGGCCCACAAACGGTCGAGTGGTAAAGTCACTGAACACCGGTAGTTCACTCCGAGGCTCGAATCTCTTTAAACGGGCTGGTTGCATGGGCATTTTCGTGGATTTTCTCATGTGTAACGTGTATGCCAGCTGGTTTTCCTTACAAAGTTCTTCGCGAAGGTATCTTTCCTTTTAGGCAGATAGCCCAATCCAGTTCAATCCATTTCATCACTATTTGGTCAGAGCCTTTATCAGTCTTTAGAGGCTATGCATTTTGAAGGTATGAGATGAAAGGAAAGAGTGGTTTCATCAACAGGTTTTGGTTTATTTAATTATGGCAATGCACAATAGGGCTATCTGCCTATGGGGAGGGATGCTTTCGTGGTGGACTTTCTAAGGGAAGCTGGTTCATATACACGTTACACATGGAAAAAAACCACGAATATGGCCATGCAGCCAGCCCGTTTGTGGGGTTCGAACCTCGGACCGAACTACCAGTGCTATATATAAATATAATATATACCCTAAGTCGAGACATGAAAAACGCAATTTGATTTTTGTCAATCGACCCAGTAGAATGGGAGATATAGAACTGTCCCCCTTTTTTTTAGCAGTGTACATATCCCTTTATGCCTGGCACAAAATGCAAGTCACATTTTTATCTGCACTACTGATTAATTAATTAATGGAGGGGTACAAAAACCTTCACTTATACAAAGAACACTTTTCTTGCACAAAGATACAGCTACTTTTATGGAATAGGTACTTGGTATTAATATACCGAAGATCAATTTCATCCCCTGCTTAATTAATACAGTCAAAAGTCGTTAATTCGGACACCCATAATCCGGACCTCAACGCTACAAACTTTCTGCGCATGCGTCGCGTTCACGCATGCACACAGGTGTTTACGAGAGCGCATAAGACCCTTACAGCTGCGAATATGTTTGTGCGCATGCGCGTTTAACGTGTAACGGAGTTATACGCTAAGCTAAAGTTATCTAATTCAGTTAATGTTGCAGATTGCGTTGTTCCTTAATCTTCGAATTTGATCCGGCTTATTATTTTTTGCAGACTGTTAGAGCAATTTTATAAAAGTAAGCTTGAACTTTTGATTATGTCAAATAGAATTTCCGATATATATTTACTACAAAGCGAAAGTATGTTTTGAAATCCGAAATCTGTTTATCAATTTCACGCTGCTCTGCGGCAGAGGGGGGTGGCAGAAACGTCATTATTAGATTATGATAGATTAGAAAGATTATGTCAAATAGAATTTCCGATATATATTTACTAATATGTAATTTGTATCTACAAAGCGAAACTATGTTTTGAAATCCAAAATCTGTTTATCAATTTTACGCTGCGGATTGGAAGTTGATCTATCAGCACTATCCATATCTTCAGAGCAGATGTTTTTATTTTATTTGGTTTATACTTCCGTACTAAGTGTAGTATTTCATCTCGATATACTCGTCTTTGATATGATTTAAATCAAGTTCCTCGTCATTATAATTCGCTTTCGATAGTGAAGAAAGTGACCCAGAGGTTATTGAAAACGAAAACATTTCGATTGACAAATTAGTGGGTATTCTCAACACTTTATATATTATTATAGGACTTGAACAGCGGAACTTTGTAACTAAAAAAGAAATTATGTCTGTTTAATAGAATGAAAGAGAAAGTATTATCACATGAAACGAAGCAACTTACATTGAAGGAAATGTTTAATAAAGTAAACAAATAAATATTAAGCTTTTTCTTTTTGTAAATTTTGATACCCTTTAGATCATAATTGTTCTTTATTTCATAAATTACGATTTCATATTTTTAATTTTGTAATTTCTGCATGTCATCTTACCAGATTTAAACTGATGATCTATAATCCAGAATCGCCGAAGAGTCCGGATTAACGACTTTTGACTGTAATAAAAATGAAAATTGGACTTACTTAAGAGTGCCTCAGCATAAAGATGACAGCACCCTTATGAAGGCAGCTTTTTTTCAAGTTAGAAATTATCATCGTAAGTCTGTGTATAGCTTTATGATGAAGTACCCTTATGGAGGTTTCTCACTTTCTGAAGAGAGACCAACTTGAATAAAGGTTTGTACATTCTTCACAACAAGGCACCCTTATGAAGCAGACCTGCAAGAAATGCTCCACTGATATTTATTTCAGCATTTTGCATGGTCCCACAACCATACAACAAATTGATTCTCTTCTAAAAAAAGATCGGCTCTTGGACAAAAAAGCAATGACATCTAGGACAGATTTCTGGATTGATGTTCTTTGATCCCAATAATTTGTAATGATGCCATTGCAACTGTTAACTGGGATATCATATAAATAGGCTACATATGGCATTTTGACACACAATTACAACTGGTGCTGCATGAATACACAATCAGTAGTAAATTGCTGTCATTTTTTTCCGATAGTAAAGTTGTCATTCGCTACCCATGACCACTGGTGGTTGAACCACGCTCTGTTAGTAAGAAACAAGAGATCTACCGCACAGTCAAAATTACACTTATAACTTTAGAACCAATATGTCAATCTTCCTCCTTCTCAGTGTTAAAATCAATTAGTCCATGATCATCCTGCAGCATTCTGAAATGTAATACTGGAGAATGCAACAAGTTATAATAGTTAATAAGAAATCATGTTTCAGATACAGTTACAATATTAGTGTTGATGTTATTAAATTGCTGCATTAATGGGTTGGGGCCTCATTGTGTTAATATACCTAACTAAAGTCTTTGCTGCATTGTGTTTACAACAAATATACAACACATACTAATGTATGTGTTTGTAACAGAACATGCAGTAAGACCTCTGTTATTTACAAAACTTTACTTAAAATTTTCAGTTTGAGAAACATTTAATTTAAATTCATAAACACTTTAACACAGAAATATTTAAAATAGCTTTCAGAAAAGCTGAAAAGTAAATTAATCTTAAGGATGTACTTACGATCTATTGTCTGTAAGCTGATTGGTATTGCTATAGATTTCATACGAAATTCATTTAACCATCTTCTACTCTGGTCATCCTGTTTTACAAACTCTAAAGGCTTGCCCTTTAAAACACATGACATTTTTCAAATAAATAGAATAAAAAATATCAATGACAAAATTATATTTATAACATTAAAGTACACAAAAAGTCATAAAAACTGACATAACATTTCCCAAACATGTTAAAAAAGTTATCAGGTTATTTTACAATTAAAGTAAAAATGTTATCCTAGAAGCATATGAGAGACTGACTTCTTGATACATCTCCCATTTCTTACTATTAACATAAATTAAAAATTTCCAATACAGAGTTTAAAAAACTACAAATGAAGAATGTATGATATAGGATAAAAAATTACTGTATTTCCCGGCATATAAGATGCACTTTTTCCTTTGAAAATAGTTCTGAAAATCAAGGGGGGGGGGCACCTTATGCGTGGGTATGTTGTTTGTGAATGGGTCAAAGCTTCATGGGATGCTGTAAAAACAGAGACAGTGGTTAAATCATTCAAGAATTGTGGCCTTAGTAATGCACTGGATGGTACAGAGGACAATTTGTTGTATGAGAATTCAGATGCTGATTTAGAAGAGGTTTCAAGTGACTCATCATTTAGCTCTGGAGATGATTGTCCGAGTTTTGACGAAGGAGATTAAAAAAGTGTTCTTTCCCAGATAAATTGTGTATTTGCAGAAAGTATTACTTTGTATTTGTATTACTTTATATTTAAAATATCATAAATTCATTATAATGATCAGAATAAAAAGTTTTATTCTTCAAAAATGTGCATAAAAAAGAGGGTGCATCTTATATGCCGGAAAATACAGTACATAAAAGGGAAAATTCTTAAAATACTCTATAAATCATTTTTTATATAAAAATATTTAGACTAATGTATCCCTCCCTTTTTCAATATTGACTAAAAACTAAAACCCAATGGCGCAACAGCCTTTAGTGAACCATGGCCTGCAGTGCCCTTATATCGGCTTTCTAGACCATGGGCTCTGGGGTGCAGGAACATCTACCCTGGACAAGCGGTCCAGCTTGTTGCAGGACCCATCCCCCAGTGTCCCCAAGCAAACTTGGAACTCATTTTATCCACCCACACAATGGACTACATACATTTCCTGCATCTGGGGGTTTTTACATTGGCAGTTTTAAAAACTGTTTAAACTTACAGAAAAGACATAATAAAATTATACTTTTCCTACTTTCAGGACATTGACAACAATACAAAAATGTATTGACATGTACAGTGTAACCGTCAGTATTTATACAGACACACCAGACGACATAGATCTCTGGGCCAGGTCCGACTTGCGAACCCACACAGAGTTTAGATATCTATGGTCCAAGGGATCTCATCCTTGTGGACACAACCCCCGCCCTGCTTAATACAAAGCATTGGGCAGAACAAAGCATAGATATGTTAATGAACTTTGTCAGTTTGCCTCCGGGCTCGACTCCATTGGCGAAACATTCGAAGATATGAGTGCTCTGTCCACTCTGTCAGTCCCCGTTAAGAGAACTGAATGGGGTCAAATCCCCAGGGATTCAGTCAAGGATCTCCGATCTAGCTCCATCGCAGCTGAAGGAACAGACACAACAGCAACAGTACGGTCCCTGCCAAGCCTGAACCTACCTGAGTACAATACTGAGGTTCTAGTCCTGTGAAGCCAAATTATATACCCCATTTATACAGTAGAAAGTCTAAGATCTGGACATTCAAAATCCGGAAGGACCTAAAATCTGGACCACAAAACCACCAACAACTGTTTTTTAAGAGCTTTTCTTTTTTTATATGCTTTACGTATTTGATTCCCCCCTATAATAATACATGTGGAGAGTTTAGATTCTTAATTTCACTTTGACAATAAATAAAATACCTCATTATTGAAGAAATCATTTTAACATAAATTTGTGTGATCAATAATTTGATTCCACAGCTGTATACATAGTACATATAGCTTGGCATACATCTCAAACTGAAACATTCTACATAGAAACATGATTGATTTTACACCTACTAATATTTTATATCCTTGACGCCAACACGGCGAATCATTCTTTATTATATTTTGCTTTCATCACTACATGTTTATCCAACACATGACAACTTGAGTAATGACTCATGCAATGATGCCTTTTTTTTTTATATATTAGTAATTGAATAACAAAGAGTATGTATGGTAACCTTTTTTGCTGACATTACGCTTGGCAATGATTACAGATTTAAGTTAAACGTGCTAAGAAATGTTGATGAGAAAAAATTTTAACCAAAATTTCTTTCCATATGCTAAAAATAGATTTTGTTAATGATACTCATAGGCCAAAAGATTACATTTAGTGCTATTTGAATTAAAAATAACTGGTTTGATATTCACATAAACCCACAACTGGTGCCAGAGCTCAAATGACTGCACCGGGCAGCAGAATTTAGAGAAGCACCAAACAACAAAATTAAGGGATGACAAAAATTTTAGAAGTTAGGGAAAGTAAATTTAGGACCCACAGAGACTGCATCAGACAGTAAGCTATCTAGCACAGTCCATCAATAAGCCTTAAATATATGTGGGAATTTATTTATTTAGAACCCAGATAAGCCTTAAGCATGTGCAAGATAAAGACATAAGTATAATAAATAACTAATAAAATTCAGACTTAACTGTCTCAGAGCATGATAGAAGAAAGACAAAATTTAGTGGAACAACTTGTTTTTTGTCGTCTATCTCATGATACATAGTCATGATAGAAGAAATCTAACATGTATGCCAAGCGGATATACAGCTACGGAATCAAATTATTGACCACACAAATTTATGTTAAAATGATTTCTTCAATAATGTATAGCAGACACTATTAAACTGGACTAAAATTATTCTTTGCATTTTCCAAGGAATTTCAGTTGTACTGTTCCTTAACTTTCTGATTTGATCCAGCTTATTATTTTTTGTAGGCTGTTATTATTACAGCACTTCTATGAAAATTAAAGTTTGAACTACTTTCGATTATGTCGAAAAGAGTTTCTAATTCTGGAGCTGCAACAGTATCTACAAAGAGAAAATATGTTTCAATGTAGATTAAAACAAAAAGTGGATTTGCTGCAAAAAATGGATAAAGGTTTATCCATTTGAAAATTATACAAGGAGTATGGTACTGGAAAGTCAACTGTAAATAAGAAAACAGATAAAGGAACTTTTTAAATTTTTTGTGGATTCTGACACGCTCACAAGCAATGAATAACAGAAAATTATTCGTTATGCTAAAAGTGACGATCATGATAAAGTGATAATTGAATGGGTCAGACAACCTCGTAGTGAGGGCATGCCATTGGCAGGTCCAATGCTAATGGCTCAAGCCAAAATATTTCATGAAGAAATGAACTTCTGAGTGCAAATATTCAACAGGTTGGTTAACCCAATTAAAAAATCGCCATGGTATAAGGTAATTAAAACTTTCAGGTGGCTGCTGAACTACTTCAGATAAATTCATTGAATTCACTAATAGTGAAAAGTTATCTCCAAAACAAATTTGCAACGCTGATGAAACTGGTCTTTTCTAGCAATACAGTATCTCATGAAAATGATCGGGCACAACAATGGTTTCACATTTTTAAGTAATAGGAGAAAAACTTTGCAATACACTAATAAAGAATATTTTCCTTTTCAACACATATTTCCTTAGCTCTCTCTTTGTACTAAATACATTTGAAAAAAATGAAATAGTAATTTAAAAAACAGCACTTTAGGCTGAAATGGGGGGGAAGCCCACAAAATTAATCAGACATTTTAATAATTTCTAATTAAAATCGTCTGCAATAAATAAAAAATGAAATTTTATAAAAAAAGCTAAGCAAAAATCTAAAAATTGTTCGCTTTTATAATTCAAATTTTCTTTTCAGAAAACATTCATTATTTTAACGCTTTCTTGCAATGGCTCAGTGACGAAAAGAAACATCATTAGAAACCTGCAGATTAGTAACTGATTTGTAACGAAAGAAAGGGAAATCTATTAGAAAAGCTGCCTATTTATTTAATTTAAGTGATTCTAAATTTTTTAATATTATTAAGCGTTATAAGAAACAGAATCATATTCAAAACAAAAGAAGACCTGGAAGACCATCTAAGTTATCTCATGGAACGAAATGCTTTATTCTAAGGAATATTAAAAAGAATCCAAAATGAAGTACTCCTGAAATAGTTGTGAAACTTCATAAATTATACGGAATATGTGTAAATCCAGAAACTGTAAGAAGACTAATGAGATCTGCAGGATATCGGGGGCAAGTAGCAAGAAGAAAATTTTATGCCAGTTAAAAAAAAAAAAAAAAGAAGAAGAAAACTTCGACTCGTTTTTGCAAAATTGATGAAACAAAAGACACCCAACTGCTGGAAAAAAAAAAAAAAAGTGTTGTTTGCTAATGAAAGCAAAATTAACATCTTCAGCTCAGATGGATGAGTGCTGGTGTGGAGAAAACAGCTGCAGGAATGCACAAGTGTAAACTTTTCATTATCGGAAAAAATACACGACCTCGAGCATTTAAAGTAAGGATTTTTTCAGTTATATATCATGCAAATAAAAGAGCATGGATGATACAGGAGCTAATGAATCATTGGTTTGAAAATCATTTCATACCTGAGGCTTGGCAACATTTGAATTTGGTTGGTTTACCTGATGATGCAAAAATTGTCCTAATTGTTGAACACTGTACAGCTCATACTTCACTTAAAGTTTTAGTGAAAGGTTATGTATCTGTATTATTCTTTTCTCCAAATTGTATGTCCATCATTCAGCCTATGGATATCGGAATAGTGAGTGCTCTGAAATGCAAACATAAAGTAGAATTTTAAAGCCCATGTTAAATTTCTTGAATAATGGCAAGACTATTCAAGAATTTTTGGAATATTTTAGCATAAAATCTGCTGTACGGAGCATCACAAGGTTGTGGAAGAATGTGTCTCCAGATACTTTAAGAAATACTTGACATAATTTATGGCCAGCTACCATATTTAAAGATGATAGGCACAAATTTGAAGGTTTTTGGATATCACAAACCAAAGGTGAAGTTTTCCAATTAGTGAATTTTTTAAAGAAATGTGGAGAAGCAATAATAAATGAAGATGATATAATAAAAGTTTAGTCTATTATATCATCTTCATTATATCTCTGACATGTTTAATTTATAATTGTGATGATAATGTCCCAATCATCAATCAACAGATGGCGAAAATCTGTAGTATGGTTCTAGATCCGGAAAATACTGCTACCGATAGTGAAGAAAATGACAGACAGGTTATTGAAAATTAAAAAGATTCAATTGACAAGTTAGTCTGAATTCTCGACACAGCAATTACAGGACTTGAATAATGGAACTTTGCAACTGAACAAGAAATTATATCCATCTAGAGAATTAAAGAGAAAGTTTAATGACAAAAAATGAAAGAACTTAAACAACTTACATTGAAAGAAATGTTTAATAAAGTAAACAAATAAATATTAAGTTTTTTTGTTGTGAATTTTGATACCCTTTAGATGGATAAAAAATGCTTTTTATTTCATACATTCATATTTTTAATTTCAATAAATTCCACATGCTATCTTACTAGATTTAAACTGATGATTTAATAATTAAGACACAATAACACGCCGAATAAATACTAATTCAGAAGTCAAACAACAAAAATCAGAGTTATATTTACAAAATTTTCACAGGACTAGTTTCGATGGTTTTACCGAACCATCATCTTCAGCTGCAAAACCTATCTTGTTCATTTGCGGTTTTGCAGCTGAAGATGATGGTTCGGTAAAACCATCGAAACTAGTCCTGTGAAAATTTTGTAAATATAACGCTGATTTTTGTTGTTTGACTTCTGAATTTGATGATTTAATATCTGAAAAAATCCCAAATCCGGGATTGCTGAAGTCCTGATCTCAGTTCTGTAATAAAATTTGACATGTATAATTTATGACGTCCTTTACATTGGTAAAAGTCATCTGGTACAAAGTGTGGAGTGTCAGTATTGCAGCCAATGAAAGTGAAAAACTAAAGAATGCAATATAGACAACTACTGTCATCTGTTAGTGCAGTACTGAATTAAAATATGTTGCTGGAGGAGGGGGGGGGGAAGATTTCACAATGCTGGAAATGGTCATTACTTGAAATGTATATTTTTCAAGTTGTGCCAGTATTGCAGCCCATGAATGATTTTTCTTACAGAAAATATAAACATAAAATATTCAAACCTTGCTGGGAAGTAGAATCACGTTCTTTTAGGAAATTAATAAAATTTAAATTTACACTGAATTAGAGTTTATAATCCAGTAATGAAAAAGATTAATTAAGTAAAAGTAATTTTTACTCACCAATACTCGGTAATGAGGATTTACTAAATGTACTATTTATTTTATAGTATGCTTGTGCTTTCTTTGAAGATGGAAGATTTAAAAAAGGATTAAGGAAGAGTAAGAAAAATTATATATGATTATGGGATTAAGTGCTTTAAACATAACATGAGGAAATTATGCAGTGTGATAAAGTAAAAAGTGGCCACCCAGATGGTATAGTAGTTAGGGGAGCCAACTGTGATATCAGAGCCCAGGTTCAAATACTGGAGAAAACATAATTATAATTGTCTGTCCCTTCATAGGAGACAACGGTGGTCACCTATTAGATGCCTCCACATTAAAACAGCTACCGCTTCTGACCTTAGAAGAAGCCAATGTCTAATAGGCAAGTGCCTGCCATTAGATAAATAAATAAATTAAAAATAAAGTTTTAAACTACATTGTTTTATATCATGTGAAAATATTATTTTTGTGAATATAAGTGGTTCAGTAAAAGTTTTATTTAGTATTATTGACGTACGCATAATCTGTTACCAAATATAAAGCTAGTTAAGCATTTTGCATATATGTAAGTAGCAATACTTTACTTTACATCTTACAGAACACATGGTAAAAAAAAAAAATGTCATTATTTCCTAGATTCCATTAAAACGCTTCTCCTACAAATGGTTTCCAGTAAAAAAAAGTCTGATTTATTTTGCTTTATTTTAATTTATGACTATGAAAACACGACTGATTATAAAGACTAGAATATGAACTAGAAACTCAAACTGTTAAAATGACAATGCATTTTTATCCAGCAGTATTTATGTATGCATTAAACATTTCATAAGGAATAACCAATATGTGAAATTCTACAGATTCCAATATTTTATTTACGACTTGATTTCTAATAAGCACCTATATAAAAATGCCATACTTTTTCACTTACCCCTGGGGTTGCAATCTGAACAGTAAAATTTGTATGCAGTAACGTAAAAGATTGGATAAATGATTGTGCTGAATTTCCTAAAAAATAAAAATTGCAATCAATGGTGATTTTGCAAAATTTATCGACATATAGTCTAGAAAATAAATTTGAGATACTTCAGTAGAGCAGAACTCCATTTATCAGGAAGGCTAGATGAGTTTATTTATGCCTTTTTAAGTTTTTTTTTTAAATTCCTTAAAAATACAAAAAATAATAAACCGGATTTCAATTTTTTAGGAGAAATATTTAATTGGTTATACAAAACATGCAAAGCGTATTTACCTTAGGATACATAGCTTCATAAAATAATTTCAAAGGAATTAATTTATAAGAGTTACTCATTCATGTTACGTAGAAATAGAACTATGAAAACTCTAAACCAACATTTTTTCAACGTGTGTTCAAAGCCTGCCACCTTGTGGTCTTCCTAGATTTCTAAAAAAGTCAAAAACTAATATTGAAATTAAATGCATATAGCAGAAATTTTCAGATCGCTTGCTCTCTTAAGATAGACATTTTATGAAATTTATCACTGGCTGCTCTACCTTTGGTGCTAACTCTTTAGTCTTAGCAACAAAAAAGGGATTTAAAGAACTATGACTGTGGTGCATCTTATTAGCAAACATCCAAACATTTAGAAAAGCTATGCTCTTGCATAGCTTTTCTGCATTCTTTTTGTTCTGCATTCATTTTGCATTCTTTTTGTTCTTACAACAGGCTTATCCATCTCATTAGTTTTTAGAAACACTTATTTAATTTTTAACTAATAAGGTAAAGATTATCCAAATGCTATAAGCTTTTAATTATGGAAGAGAAACATGATTTTTTCTAATTACTTAATACCAATGTAAAATTAAATCAATTTTCACAAACGTGAGTGTATATTAAAAATATAAGTATACTGGTAGTGATATATGTAAAAACAAATTTCTTTCAAAGAGAACAGGAGTCAGGTGGTCGATAAAGTGATCCCCACTTGAAAATGAGACTCTAAACCATTTGAGAGTTGTTGAACTTAAAATGGACTACCTAAGTTCAGCGGTTTTCATTTAAGAACTGGTAAAGCACATTTTCCTTTTCTTACCTCCCACCAACCTATATACAGAGGTACGGAAGGTAATGCTTTTGGTTCAAAAATTCAATAGTGAGTTTTCAGTGAATAAGTATTGTTACGAATTTGGTATTTAAAAAGCTAATGTTAGTTCAATTATAAATTAAATGGTTTTATTTCTCGCGCAGTGCAGCGCGTGACGAATATTAAAAGAAAGCTAAGCCGGAAAATTAAAAATACAAGAGCGCGTGCATTAAATAAATAAATATCTCTTTTTGATTTCGAGAAAGTACTGGAAAATTCTAGCGCGTGATTTTAAAATCTTATAAAAGGAGGAAAACATCTCAGTTTGTAGTAGTTGCTTAGTTTGTTGTTGTTTAGAAAACTGCTCTTGTTGATTGTAGCGAATTCGCGGATTAGCGTTCTTTAGCTGTTTTTGAATTACGTTCTATTGGACATTTGAGTAGTTAAAAGATAACTACTGTGAGATATTGTAATACTGCATGATAATTTGAGAAAATTTAAGCATTTTTTGTTGTGATAATAATAAATTTTTTTTGTTCATTTTTCATCGGACTTGTGCATTCATTTCATAACGAACCCGTACGCACGCAACAATTTTTGGTGTCAGAAGTGGGGATTTGAATGCCAATAACAAGAGCGATGGAAGAACAATTCAGGCAATGATGACTGCATTTGCTGCTTTCCAAGAAAAGATGGAAGGAGCCGTCAACTCCGTTAAGGAAGATATAAAAGCTGTACAAGAAAAGATGGAAGCTGGCCCAAACATCTTTTAAAGAAAGAAAAAAGAAATGAATTGGGCCAGGAATCCGTTAAGGAAGAAATGAAATTGGGCCAGGAATCCGTTAAGGAAGAATGAATTGGGGAATCCGTTAAGGGAAATGAAATTGGGCCAGGAATCCGTTAAGGACGAAATGAAAAGCCGTTCAAGCTGGTCAAGAAGAAATGAAAAGAGAAATTACTTGCATAATAGAAAATAAATTTGAAGCTATGGAAGGCAGAATTGACGCAGTTGAAAATAAAGTTGGACACATATTGAAGAAAAAGTTTCTTCCGTAAAAGATCATATTGAAGAAAGAGTTTCTTCGGTGAAAGAAGAAATAGAAGAAAGAGTTTCTTCTGTAAAAGAACATATAGAAGGGAGAGTTTCTGTGGAGGAACGAATTGAAGGAAGAGTTTGTGCCGTCCAACACCAAATCGAATAACAAATTGATGAGAGAGTTTCTGCAGTTGCCAAAGAAATGGATACTTTAAAGAAATTCATAGCGTCGGCAGGGAGCAGGAGTGATGATTTTAAATTCTTACCAATGCCTGCTCGTCCACCTCTGAAGCTATCCACATATATGATGGGAAGACCTCCTGGCAGGTGTATAAGACACAATTTTCTATCGTGGCGGATGCGAATGGATGGGATTCCCAAGCTAAGGCCTGTCATCATCTCGCCGCTTCTCTAAGAGCCGACGCAGCGGATATCCTTCAGACTCTTCCCGAAAACAAAAGGTTAGATTTCGAAGCTCTGTCCGGCGCCTTGGAGTTGCGCTTTGGGGAGAAATGTTTAAAAGACTACAGCAGGCTCCAATTAAAATCTCGTCAACAGAAGCCTACCGAAACACTTCAGGAGCTCGCCACGGATGTTGAAAGGCTGTCCCATCTCGCCTTTTCGGAATGCCCGACAGAAACAAGGGAAATCCTGTCCTTGCAATACTTTATCGACGGCATCCGAGATACTGAAATACAGAAAGCTCTACGAATGGCGGATGTAAAAGATTTAAAAAGTGCTCTAGTGTACGCCATGAAATTTGAGGCAGCCCAGCAAGCCACTCGTCGAGACCGCCACCCAGTCAGAGCTGCTCAAGTCCAGGAGCCAGGGGATCAAGTCACCGCTCGTCTAGACGATTTAACTAGACAACTGAACGCCTTGAGACGGAATATTGGTGAGAAGAAACCGACCGTTAAGTGCTGGAACTGCGGTGCTGAAGGACACATACGACGAAACTGCAAAACACCCCAGGGTACGGATGTTAAGACCGCTTCTAACAAGCAGCAGGGAAACTAATTAGTGGCCATCTCGCGGGGCGGAGGTTGCCAGATAATGAAAAGCCCCAGTTTAAAGCGCTTCAGATTTCTGCAGTGAGAGGCGGCAGTAATGGACTTTTCATAATAGGACATATTAATGGAGTTCCTGCAATATGACTATAGATACAGGAGCCAACGTTACCATCATCCGAAAAGATTTGGCTCAACAACTAGGAAACAAACTTATCTGGACGCCGCCCTGCGTTACCCTCCAGACTGTGTCCGGTGAGAAGATCGACATCGTCGGAAAAGTAAATGTTAACATCGCTTTTGGAAGTGCCGCTTACCCACACACGGCATATGTAGCAGAGATCACTGATTCTTGCATACTCGGATTGGACTTTCTAAGGAAATACAATTTTTCCTTGGACTTTAAAAATAACGAATTGCATTCTACATCTGAGGACATAGCGTTATTTGGAGTTAATGATGAAGAAGTTAAATCTGTCCATAAAATCATAGCACAAGACAATATCACAATACCGGCAAGAACAGAAATTTTACTTCCTGGATCCATAGCCGAAAACAGAAATTTCCGCTACGGCATCATAGAATATCCCGATAACTGTAATAGCCCAAAAGGAGTACTAGTAGCCTCAACACTCGTCGACCTATCCAGAACGGTTATCCCGGTGAGAGTCGCCAATGTAACTGAGAAGTCGAGAGTTATTAAGAAAGGTGAAGTGGTTGCAGCATGTACTCCAGTAACCAGCGTTGAAAGAAAGAGTAACATCCAAGAATCCGTGTCCTCAGAGAGCATTACATCGGAGTTATTGAAGAATGCGCAATTAAACGATAAAGAGAGGAATGCTGCCGATCGCGTCATTAAAGATCTTCAAGATCTTCAAGTGTTTTTCTCCCGCTCGTCTTCTGACGTGGGTCGAACTAGTTTGACACAACATAGAATAGATACTGGCGATCATCCCCCGATCAAGCAACATCCAAGACGTCTACCGTTTGCTAAACAGGAAGAGGTGCGAACACTGTTAAAAGATATGGAAGAAGGCGATGTCATCGAGCCTTCAGCAAGTCCATGGGCATCTCCCATCGTTCTCGTCAGAAAGAAAGACGGCTCAACAAGATTTTGCGTTGACTATCGCCGGTTGAATGAGGTTACGAAGAAAGACAGTTACCCTCTTCCTAGAATTGACGACATTCTAGACACTCTTTCTGGAAGCAAGTGGTTCTCAACACTTGATTTAAAGAGTGGGTATTGGCAGGTAGAAATACATCCTGAATACCGAGAAAAGACGGCATTTACTACGGGACAAGGGACTTTGGCAATTCAAGGTGATGCCGTTTGGACTGTGTAATGCGCCGGCAACATTCGAACGTCTTATGGAGACTGTTTTGAAAGGTCTTTCCTACGAAGCCTGTCTGATATACCTGGACGATATCATCATCGTCGGAAAGAGTTTTGAAGAACATCTAGAAAATCTTAGAAAGGTGCTTCAGAAACTGAAAGAAGCCAATCTGAAGCTGAGTCCCGCTAAATGCAAATTGTTTTTCGAAAGGAAGTGACTTACCTGGGACATGTCATCTCTGCAGAAGGTGTGCGCACGGATCCTGAAAAGGTATCAGCGGTTAAATCCTGGAAACGCGTCCCGAAAATGTCCATCAGCTGAGAAGCTTCCTAGGGCTTTGCACCTACTATAGGAGATTCGTGAAGGACTTTTCTTCCATCGCAAGACCCCCACTTCACAAGCTGACAGAGAGCAAGCAAAGATTCTTGTGGACAAAAGAATGCGAGGATGCATTTAACAACTTAAAGGAAGCTTTAACATCTGCTCCAATCCTGACGTATCCTCAGCTCGACCAGACCATTTATTCTCGACACCGACGCGAGCAATGAAAGTGTCGGTGCTGTTTTGTCCCAAGAAATAGACGGCC